CACACACACACACACACACACCAGCTGGCCCTCAAGCCACCCGGAGCATGTCACCCACACCCCCCCCAACTGGCACTCAGAGCGTGTCTCACACACACACACACACCCCAGCTGGCCCTCAAGCCACCCGGAGCATGTCTCTCTCTCACACACTCTCTCACACACCCTCACACACTCTCACTCACACACACACCCTCACACACCCCAGCTGGACCTCAAGCCACCTGGAGCATGTCACATGCACACCCCCCAGCCGGCCCTCAGAGCCACTCAATGCATGTCTCACACACACCCCAGCCGGCCCTCCGAGCCACTCAGAGCATGTCACACACACACCCTAGCCAGCCCTCAAGCCACGCGGAGCATGTCACACGCACCCCCCAGCCGGCCCTCAGAGCTGCCCAGAGCATGCCGCAGGACTCTGGCAGTCACTTAAAGAGCCCAGGGATTCTTGGGCCCCAGAGCTTTTGCCCCATTTGCTCCCCCTGTCAGCAGGCCTGCCTCGGGCCTGGGGGTAGTTCCCCACCCAGCACTCAGATACCACAGGGATACCACCTGGGCTCCGAACTAGCACAGAATCACAGAAACCTACAACAGGGAGAGGATTTACAGGCCACGGAACGTCCAGATGCCGCGTACCGCCTTGGAGCCCCGTGGCCAGCTCCCCTTGGGGTCAGAAGGAACACACAGGTCCCACGCATGGTGCCCCCCCTCATGCAGGCCTTGCCCACCCAGGGAAGCATTTGCAGGGACTCCTCATGTACTCCTTTCTCAGGCTGCTTCCTGAGCACGTTTCTTGCTGTTCCCAGGATAACGATGGGCTCCTTACGAGGTGGCAGAACAAGAGCATGGACAACCTCATCGAGCTGCACAACAAGGCCCCAGTATGGAATGACGAGACCCAGTCCTACGTCCTGAACTTCCACGGCAGGGTCACCCATGCCTCCGTCAAGAACTTCCAGATCGTGCACAGCGATGACCGTAAGTCCGCAGGGAGAGTCCCCACCCCAGAGCGATTCCCTGTCAGAGAGCAGCCTGGGGGACACGGGTGATTCCCTGAGCAAGCTATGCCCGTCTGGAGGGCTCTCTCGCCATCTCCCCAGCTCAGGCCCTTGGCTTGAACCTCACTCTGGCCATTGTGAGCAGCGTGAGAGTCGCTGTGTCCGGGAGACGTCAATGGAGAGCTGATCTAGGCCTTGAATTGACACCAGAAGGGAACTGGGAGCTGTGGACCAACAGCGTGGTGCCCTCGGCAGCTTCCACGCAAAGGAAGTAGGCTGTCCCGAAACACAGTCCCCTATGATTGACATAGCCGATGGGAGCACAGTCATCTCCGTCGCCCTCTGTGCTCCCCGGGCAGAATCTGAGCCAAAGACAGTTTCTGTTCCTGCTGGCCCTTCAGAGCCAGCCTGGCCAGGAAGCGTCAGCTCTGTCCGCTCAGCGTCAGGCGCCTGCAGGAGACCCTGACACCCACGGTGGGGGCAGAATCTTTGCCAGAGGAGAAGGGCTGAGCTTGGAGGGATGTGCAGCCGGGAAGGTCTGCTTCCTGCTTGGAAACGTACCGGCCATTTGGATGAGAGAGGGGCCCCCCGTGTGACTTCCCTGTTCCTACCCTCGCTTGAAAGAGGGGCAAGGGACCTGCTCCAGGATGAGGTAGGCCCATTGTGCAAGCAGAGTGCTACCCGCTTGGGCGCCTTGCTGCGGGCAGCGCTGTGTCCGCAGCGGGCCAGACGCATGCTCTGTGTGAATGGGGCACCGGGGGTGCCAGAGGGCCAGGCAGACTGTGCTAAGGGGGCTGGGGTCGCAGGGGGCCCTGCTGAAGCTCTGCAGCCCCCCAGCCTGGCTCTTGCAAACCTTCCAGCTGCAGGGAGACTGTTCTCCTGGCCTTTACACACGGGCTTTGCCCTGCCTGCTCCAGGCTCTGGTCCCTGGATGAATAAGGCCCCAGGAAGAAGCCGCGCAGAAGGCGCCGTTGGCCATGGTGAGAGCTCCATGGTTGGGGAGCGCTCCAGGAGCAGGTGACCCCAGCGGGGCCCCAACTGGGCCAGGCTCTGAGCTGGGGGTGGGAGCACATGAGAAGCAGTGAGCAGCCCTACACCGAAACCCATCCGAGTGTAGACTCCAGAAAGGATCACAGACCAAATTCAACCCTGGGGTAAGCTCCCGCCGAGATCCAGCGCTGAGTCCCTGCCTACAGGGGCCCCTTTTGTGCTTGGTTTTGAGCCCGGTTCATCTGCCTGTACCCTGCGGATGATCACGGAGAGAGCAACTGTAGGAATTATGTGGGGGCAGTTCTCTGGGCCTGTGTCATGCCAGTGTTCAGACTCCCAATAATGGTCTGGCTGGGAATCCATGGAAATTCACTTCTGTGCGGAGACCTAGTGCAAGCACGTCCATCCCCCAATGTGTACCCCTTAAGTCTAGGCCTGTGGGGCTTCAGAGAGCTCCGGGTGACGTTTTCAAGTGCTCCGCCCCCACAAATGGGACCTGGGAGCCGAGCTCTGGGGGAGGCGTCAGTGATGAGACCTTTTGAAAATTCTGGCCTGTGGGCCCAAGTGGGAATTCAGTGACCTTGTGCAGCCTCCGCTCAAGGGGGTCTCGCCCAAAAGCCAAAACAGTCCGGCTCTGGCTCCCGTCCGAGGCTGACACTGGAAACAGAATGACATTTTACTCGGTTGGCTGCCTGAGTCGGCTGGATTTGGAAGGTCCCTGAGACTCAATCAGTGGGGTCAGAGTTCAGACAGCTGATCGCTCGGGGGCTGCAGGGAATGGGATCCACCCTCCCTGTGCCCCGGCCTTGAGGCGGAGACCACCTGCGAATATCAGAGCGTGGGCAGCTCGGCAGCTTTGTGGCGTGCGTGAGCAGCGAGAGCTTGCTCTGCCTGTCACCTGTCCAGTCCAATCAGGGGATGCTAGTGTTGGGTTACAGGACAGAAGGAACCTGTCGGGGGGCCCCCGGTTATTTTTACAGATTTCCTGTCACCCTCGCTGGTGGAACAAAAGGCAGCCGCGGGAGAGGCTGTGGCTGGAGGAGTGCCACTGCAGGGCTGAGAATGGCTGGGGCAGGCATTCTAGCGAGGGATCAGTTTCCCTTTGGGAGAGGCAGTGCTTGGCGCGCCTCTGGTCTCTTCCCCTGTCAGTGGGAAGGGCTGATTCTGTTGGTTAAATGGCAACGCTTATTGTCAGGCTGGCAGGTGGCTGAGCTCTGCAGCCCGTCTTCTGCGCTGCTGTGTTTGACATTTGAGCGAGAGCCCCGCGGCCTTTCGTGGCGCTTCGCTCAGCCACGGCCTCGGCGCTGGCAGCAGGTGCGGGACCCACACAGTCTGACTCTCAGACATTACGCCATCAAAATGGCTTCTTTGGAAGGTCACCTTCGACGGACGAACCTCTCGCTGCAGAGGTTGGGCTCAGCTGAGCCTGGGGCGTTCAGATCCTCGTGAGCACAACTTCAGCCTTGGGGGTCTGAAAAACTGAGCTGGAAATGTCACAAGATGGATGTCTTTGGGTGTTCGGGCTGGGCTGCTGGGACTGCCAGTGAGACCAGAAATTCAGAGCCGTTCTCTGGGGCCTCCCAGCTCAGGATCTCAAACTTTTACGTGCTTTAATGAATCAAGCCTCTCAACCCGTTTCATTATCCCTGGGTTCCAGATGGGGAAACTGGTGAGGCTCAACGTGATTGGGAGGGAGATCTGAGTTCAAGTTCTGCCATGGATTGTGTAGCCTTGGGCCTAGAGCCAGAGTTTTGGTCGAGGGTGTGGCGCTTTGTGCTCATTTTAGCCCCGGCACCTGCTCATACGCAGATTTGCCTTGATGGCCTTTTGCCTCCTCTCTTCCAGTTGACTACATTGTGATGCAATTTGGCCGGGTGGCAGACGATGCTTTCACCATGGACTACAACTATCCCCTGTGTGCTGTGCAGGCTTTTGCCATTGCTCTGTCCAGCTTTGATGGGAAGCTGGCCTGTGAATAATACACCGAGGAGCCCTACACACCCCTGCTGTACTGAGCTTAGCTCACTCAGAGAGGCAGCGTTGCCAAGTGGAGTGGCTGAGCGAGGCAGGAGTTTGCCTACAACGTGAGGATCCAAGCTGACAATCGAGAACCTGCGGCTGGTCTGGTGTTACTAATGACACCTGTGCACATCTGGAGACTGTGACCAAGTGGAATCATTAACTGTAACTATGTACCAGGTTTTAACAGGTCAGATATCACAGTCACCATTCCATCTGCCCTGCCTTCCACCCTGAAGGAACAGATGGCCACAAGCACTGCAGAGATGCTCTGGTGGGTTGGATTGTAACTGCAGAATCCCACCGTACTTTGTGTAGTCTTATCTCCATCGAGTCTCTGATGGGTCAGAACTGGCCACTGGCCCCAGTCCATAAAGCAGAATCTCTCCCTCTATGTACTTAGCAGACAGTTACTCTGATTTCATCCTGCCAGGACGTTCCTGGGACTCCTGGAAAAGTGTTGAGTTTTTAGATTCTCTTTTGTATATTGTAGCATTAGGTTTAAATGACAAAGGCTGAATGGGGGGGGGGGGGAGGGGGGGGGGGGACTGGCTTTCTTTGTTCTGAGTATGATCAGTAAAGAAGCAACCACAGGGACAAGTCTCTGTTCATTGAGCAGTGCAGGTTTGGTTAGTCCAGGGAGTGGTACTCTCTGTATCCCCAGAACAGCACAGGGTAAGTGTCCCTTTCTCGCACGGTCCAGGCGAGGTAATTCCTCCCTGTCCTGTAACGGAACATCTCCAAGCAGAAGACACATTGGATTCTTGGAGAGCAATGATCCGGCTTCTAGCTGGGCTGGGTTGTGGGGAGCCCGGTCAGGTATGTACTGCTGAAGGTTCTTCTTACTAGCACCTGGCACAAGCTTAGTAAAGAGCTTGTCTGGATTTTGTAGGAACAGAGATGGATGTAATTCCACACTTGCATTGCCATCGCCCTGTGCACCCATTGCAGAATGGCCCTAGGGGACTCCCGGCAGGCTCTGAGCCTGGACTTGCACCCACACCACCGCTACCCCATGGCTACGTCTAGACTGGCATGATTTCCGCAAATGCTTTTAACGGAAAAGTTTTTCCGTTAAAAGCATTTGCGGAAAAGAGCGTCTAGATTGGCACGGACGCTTTTCCGCAAAAGCACTTTTTTGCAGAAAAGCATCCATGCCCATCTAGACGTGGCTTGGCGCGAGAGAGCCCCGATCGCCATTTTCGCCATCGGGGCTTTTTGGCGCAAAACAGTTTTTAGCTGTCTACTGGCCCTCTGGCACAAAAACATTCCGGGACAGGGCTTTTGCCCGAACGGGAACGGCAAAGCATTTGTGCAAGAAGCACTGATTTCGGACAGTAGAACGTCAGTGCTCTGGTGCAAAATCAAGTGGCCAGTGTAGACAGTTGGCAAGTGTTTGCGCAAAAGCACTTGCTTTTGCGGAAAAACTTGCCAGTCTAGACGCAGCCCATGAGTCTACTATGATTGGGTATTGGCATAAGGGCTTGTGCGCCACTAGAGGTACCAATCACAGGGACCTGATTGAAGGAGCTCAGGAGCCCCTGATTCAGCCAAGTGAGCCAGAAAAGGACACAGTAAGATGTCTGTACAAGGTGGATCCTGACTTGCTGCTACTACAGACTCTGCCCTCTGCTGCTTGACTTCTGGTCTTGTCCCCAATCCCTCCCGTCAGCCTTGCCTTGTTCCCTGCTCCTGAGCTTCATCCAGTCCCTGAATCGCTCCAACCCGAGGATACAGCTCCTTGGCTCTCGGCTGTGATCCTGGGCTCCAACTCACCGCTGGGTCAGACAAGTCGGGGTGGCTGTCCAAGCCCCTCCTGCCTTGCTCCTGATACCTAGGGTCTGCTTCTCCATTGCCCTGGGTTTTGCATAATCATTTATAGCAGCACAAACCAGATAGAAATCCCTGCCTTTGTGATTAGGCGGCGCTGGGCACTCACAGTGCCACATCGAGTGCCAGACAACGGAGGCTCTGTCCGTGCTTCCAGGTCATTAACCTTTCCTTGCACTCCAAGGATCTCTGAATCCCCGCTGCGTGACTTTGTGCAGATAATCTCCCTCCCTTTCTGCACAAGAACGGCTTGCTTTGGGTATACAATGACCCGCATCAAGTGTGTGGAAGGTAAGTGCAGCTGGCTGCTCCACAAAGGAAATGTCAGAGCCAGCCCTCTGCTACTGGGAGGGGAATCTTGAAAAGGAAGACAACCTGTGCCTTGAGTTATCTTTACTGGGTGAACAGCAAATGCAAACACTCCCACTCCGCAGCCACGCTGGCATCTTGTTCCACCTGACAAGCTGAGCGTGGTAGGGGTGGGTCCTTCCTAGAAGAGACCCCAAGGGGAAATGCAAGGTGCTACAGGAAGTGCTGCCAGTGACTCACAAGGCGTGGTGCTCTTCCTTCTGATTCAGTACTCCTGTGTTGATTAATCAGGGCATGGCCCCGATCTTTCTGAGAAATCCTCGCAGCCCAGCCTGTCATCACCACCTGTCAGTTCATCTGCCCATCATGTTTTCTGGAAGAGCAGGTCAGCTGGATTTTTGGCCAAGACGACGCTAGAGTTAACTTGAGTAACTAGCTTTTGCCTCCTTTCTGCTTCAATGGGCTACAGCAGTGGTTCCCAAGATTTTCGGCATTACGCCCCCCTTTTTGATTTTTAAAAAACCCTCCCCCCCCTCCAAATAGCAGCAAAACTTGTTTATCAAAAAAAAAAAAAAGAAAAAAGGAACTGACCGGGGCAGCAAAACTTGATGGGGGTAGCGGGAGGACTGAGTCAGCTCACGCCACCCACTATTCTAAAACATCCCTTAACCCTCAGGGAACAAGGGTTACAGGGACTTCGGAGTAGTGAGCCTGTTATTTCAACATCTATTTCAAAAAAATGGGCTGGTTCAAAAGCCGCAAAATAGCTATTTCGGGATCCCACTATAACGCCACAGTCTAGACCAGTGTTTCCCAAACTATGGGCTGTGGCCCGGTACCGGGCCGCAAGAAAAAATACCAGGCCTCAGCGTGGTTGCCGGGGTGATCCGGACTCCTGGGGTGCCCATGTGGCACCAAGCCCTGGGCATAACCTGCAGCCCGATGTTCCGGCTCCCGGCAGAGACGTAGGTCGGGGGGGAGGGGGAGGAGGAGGGGAGAGCCAGCCACCAGAAGCAGCACTGGTGAATTGGGGCTGACTTTGGAGATTGGGGAGGGGACGCTGGCGGAAGCAGAGCTGGCTGGGGGGCAGGTCGGGAGGAGGAGGAGGAGGAGAGAAGCGGCTGCCGGAAGCAGGGCTTGCCTGGGGCATTGGGGTTGGCCGGGAGAGATTGGGGGGCCGGTGGAAGTTCAAAACTACAAACTGATAAATCTACTAATAATAAAACGTACCTAATGAGAAAATAGCAGACATCTTATATGTCTGGTATTCTCTCCGTTTGTTTTTTATGTGTTTATATTTTTGGGCTGCAAAAAGCAGTACTGAAAAAAAAAAAAAGGGTTCCAACTAAAGTGTAAAGTTTGGGAAACGCTGGTGTAACCAGCTTTCTGTGTCTTACACTCCATTTCTCCAATCCATATTCCTTAACTTGAGGGCAAGTCTATTGTGGGTGACTGTATCAAAAGCTTTGCTAAAGCTGGCACTGGGGGCTTTGGAAGGACCAGAAGCAACGTCTTTGAATAGTCATCATTTGACTAATGAAGATGCAAATATGCAAAGTAATGTTACCGGTCCTCCAAAAGTTCGTGAATGGATTTCCTGGTCCTCGTGTCAAAAAGTTTGGGAACCCCTGGTCTAGACGTACCTTAAGTGGTGCTGTAAGAAATACATTGTTCTCCGGTAAAGGAGTGGAGTGGGTGACAGTGTAACAGCCGTGGTTCTGAGGGGTCTCTGCAGCCTTCTTCTGGTGGGGAGGGATAGCTTGGTGGTTTGAGCATTGGCCTGCTAAGCCCAGTGTTGTGAGTTCAATCCTTGAGGGGGCCATTTAAGGACTTGGGGCAAATCTGTCAGGGATGGTACTTGGTCCTGCTGTGAAGGCAGGGGACTGGACTCAATGACCCTTCAAGGTCCCTTCCAGCTCTAGGAGATAGGTATGTCTGTATATTTTTCATCAAGGAGTCCCTAGGTGGAGTGACAACTCAACTGCACTGCCAGAGCCAGGCTCACAAACAAATCCATGAATAAACTGGGCGGGAGGGGAAACAGAGATGCAGCGCCAAAGCCAGCCGGGATCCATGGGTCACGGTGAGTGTTCTCTGTAAGCTGGATGCTTGGGCGGCCACCCAGGAGAGATTCACACGCCATTGATTAGCACAGCATCCACAGTCGCCCATAGCTGGCAGCATGTGAATCTCCTAGCGATACACATCCGCACATGGCTCGGTGCACAGAACAATGCTTTTGATTAGCTGCAGAGGGAGCGCATGGCTCTCACAGTCAATATTGTCTTCAATCGGCACACCCCTAGCTTCACATACCCTGGCCCCATTTTTGCCCCTTCACTGGCAGCCCTGGGTCTGTGCTGCTACTGCTGACAAAGGCTCTACCTTCGGAGCTAGTGGCTTTCCAGCTGCCCAGCGCTGCTGCCAGCAGGAACACAGAAGTAAAGGCCTCAGTACCACAATCCCCCTACAATAACCTTTGGGCCCCTGCAGTTACAACACCATGAAATTTCAGATTGAAATAGCTGAAATCATGTCGTACAGTCATGAAACTGACCAAATGGATCGTACATTTGGTAGGGCCCTCGGGCTCATCAAAGTTTAGAAAGCAAGAACCTTCAGCCCCAGTTCCAACAAGGAACCAAACCTCTGTGAAGACTGGAATATGTTTGGATACGTTTCTGAGGGTGGGTTTTTTCATGTTCTTCTTGATTGCCTGAGCATGGATGGAAGAGGCAGGGCCCACACACACCAAGAACAGCAGCTGTATGGCTATTTGGATCAGTCAGAAACGAGGACACCTAGGAGTCTCATTAGAAGGGCTGGCGTAAAACTCACAGCTGGCTCTTTCCTGAGACTCTCAGCCAATGGTCAATCAGAAGCCTTTCTTCCCCGTTGGGTACCAGCCAACTCAAACATCTGAACCTTTTCTGTTTTGCCCATCATCGCCTTTGACCCCCAGAAAAATATTTTTACTTAATCCAAATACCAGCCCACTAGCGAAACAACACTGCTGCAAACAGCAAACACAACACCAACTGGCAAACAGAACCCCCAGCGTATAAAGAAAAAGCACCTTATAGCATTACTCCAATACGCACAGTTCTAGCAACATACAGGCAACAGCAATTAAAGCACACACCAGCCGCCCCACACTCAGTTACACTTACAAATAAACCCGAAACCAACAGCAGCACAACTGAAAATAATGTGGAAGGGCAGGAGATAGTTGGTCCTTTGTTTGCTCCGACTGTTAGTGCTAGAGACAGCAGAAGAGAATAAGGGGGTGAAGCATTTGAAATGTGCATCTGTTTTGCGCTACAACGAGAGTGATGGATGCAAAGGCAGACCAATGATGAAGACCTCCTATTTTGAGGTCTTA